GTACAAGCTAGTTAGTAATATTTACATAGTGGACTTGACACGACAATGTGAACAGGACAATGGTTATTTAAGTCCAAAGCTCGCTTGTTTCTCGTTAGAGGTTTATTCAAAGAATAACATTGATAGTTAATAAGAATCTAGACTTTTCTTGGTATTGAACAGGTTCTAGAATTGGCTTAGGTACATAGGTCGATAATGTCAGCTAGAACTATTAGTAGGTACTAATAGTTTTAGTGTCTGAAACGATTAGGTTGTTGTAGGTTTTTATCTGCGCCGACGACAATTTACCAATATTTTTTTTCAAAATTTTGCCTTTTGTCTGTGCAGAATTAGGTACTATCGATGTCTAAGAACCTAAGTACATATACTAAATAACTAACGATGCTTCATTATTTGGACAAACTCTTTATTCTTTGTGTTTCTATATTTAAACAAAAATCGGAATTAACGGATAGTGGGATTTCTTAGTGTGAATTTAACGCTAAAATCCATATTTTAAGAGTTTCGATGTGTGACTGAGATTATCGGAGGCCCAATTGCTTCCCCGCCCTCAACCCCAATTTCCCCAATTCCTAATCCCCAATAGGCCGGTAACGCACTAGTAACGCCTCTGGTGTTGCGTGTGTCCATGGGCGACGCCGATTGCTTAACATCAGGTGATCCGTATGCTAGTTTACCGACTTATCCCACAAAAAAGTTCCTTACCTCTTACAAATAAATTCTACAACTACTCAGTCAAAGCATTAAACTGTCAAACACCAAGCGGTCACCGGTGACCGCAACCTATTGTTCTTTAATTGTGTCTATAATGACGGTACCTACTCGACGAGTTAAATTAACCTATATTCTCATATTTTAACATAACTAAGTAGGTAGATATGTAACCCACAAATTGACCTAAATACTTATAAGTAGTTATTTTTTATAATAAGCTTACCAGGCACATTTCGTAAGTCCACCATGTGTGCGAGTCGGCAATAATACCGACTAACTCGTACTCCATTACTTAAAACATAATTAATGGCTTTAAATATTAATTACTAGCTAACCCGCCCTGGCTTCGCACGGGTGCAATATGCATGTATTATATATACAAACCTTCCTTAAGAATCACTCTATCTATTAAAAAAAACCGCATCAAAATCCGTTGCGTAGTTTTAAAGATCTAAGCATACATACGGACATACAGCCAAAGCGACTTTGTTTTATACTATGTATTGATAATGACGTTACACTCCACTGAATGTTAAACCGACTGCTCTTATTTCAAAATGGAGGCGATTGCGCGTAACAATACTAGGTACAATAGTCTGTAGAAAAATTGTTGTGTAGTACAGTGATTAATAAGTAGGTATAAGATGTTATTATCGTTGAGTTTATTTCGGTATTTCTTTCTTTCAGAAAAGTCAGATAGGCAATGCCGGCCTCATCTAGATTAATTTTAAAACATTGACTTAAAAAACTGAGTTGTAAGTAAAGTTTTTACAGAAATATGTACATCACTTGTCGTATTGGCAATAATGGAATTGAAATTCTCTTTCTCGAATCAATGGAAAAATACAATGTTTATTTTCATTTTATAGCCAACTACGTACTTATTGCAGCATTCATGTTTAGAATTGTAATTACAATACTATTATTAACGTGACCAATAACTTGTTACCCAATATTCAAATTAAAGTACTTCATCCCAAACTATTCACAATGAAAATTCATTGATTGCAAAATATTAGCGTATTGAAAAGAATTCATGAATTATAAATAGCCAATATAAATCTTAGAACTCATAATAACGTCATTAGTTAGAACGTAGCTGAACAAAGACAAACCTTGGCCGAACATCATGGCTACCTATGCTCTTCTAAATTCAAAAATATAAATAAAAAAAAGAATCGCGGGCACAGACAAGACGCGTTCACATAAATACTTTAAGGTTAGGTCGTGAGTAACATGATGAGTGATTTTGCAAGCTTACAATATTATAATTATTCTCGTTTCGCGGACATCCGCCTCACCTTGACGTTACCCTCAAGAAATACCAATTTATTTCTGAAACCATCTTTGTTTCCGCGTCTTCTTCTCGTGCGTGCGTTATTAAAACGAGAATCGTGTGTGCAGAGCAACTCTGTCTTATTCCTCATGTTTAAAATAATTTGAAAAAAGACATCTGGGTATTTTAGTTCGACCTTTAAAAGCTAGAATCTTAACTGAGATCTAGTCTTTCTAGACTACTCGGAGAGAGATCTACGTAGCTGTTTTAATTCTGACGAATTCATAGTGATCTCTTAACAAAGTTCAGTATGAAAAACCGAGAAATATTATAAAGTAACTTCTAATACGATAATGACGTTTCCTAGTCATACAAATTACAGACAATACAGCATATCAGGTAACAGTACCATCATGATCATCATCTTAAGTAAATATGACACATCGACACATGTTTAATACATTCCTAAGATAAGGAAAAACCTTTTATTTTTCCTTATTGAGATAAAGAATTGCAATTGTATTGGAAGTGAAAAAGACAGCTCTTGTTTCCGGTAGTGTATTGTCTTACAATAAGATGATTCCTATCAAAAATAAATTCAATAGACAAAATGATAAACATACGTCGTTGGTTAATTATTTGAAATTTTTCCGTTGTAGCACGGAGTTTGATGTATTAGGCTGTTTTACCCTGTCGCGGAGAACCTAACGGGTTACCGGGGCTCCGACTCGATGTGCAGGAGAAGGAACGGGGTGGTTTTTAGTCAGTAAGAGTCTGACACTCCCTCCCGCCACATCCAGGCGGGAGCAGTCATTTGATGATTTTCTTCCCTTAAAAAAAGGCTGTTTTACCCCACTATAACTAGTGAAAACTGGGTGTTAAATTGTATGCACCGTTTCCTTCAGGGATTTAAATAAACGTGACGTTATATTCTGTGTTATTATTATTCAATGTATAAAAATTCAGTACCTACGTATGACACAAGAACTTTTAAAATAACACAGCACTTACGCGTAAGTATGTACCCACGTACTGTGCAGTCTTTGATTTTTTTCGCATTTACAATTATTATTGTATATTTTTCCTGAGGTCGAGTGGTTTGACCTTAACTTTTGACTCATCCGCCTCAAGGCGAGGCGTATTATGCTCTAGAGTCGCTTATTTTCACATTATCTTTAGAATCGCGTGTGATTATACTTACTAAAAGTATGATAGCAAGGCTAGTTGTAAGGTTGTAGCACTTGTAGCGTTCTTTGGTTAGAATTATTTCTCTTTTTTTCTTCTTCTATAGTTGGGTCTCAGGGAAAATACTTCAGTGATTTCAAAATTCCCCGATTCTCCGTGGAAATAAGCACGTACGTACTTCGGAGTTTGGAAATTATTAAAGAGAAAAAATACAAAACAAAGGAAGTCTGCAATTACAAAACTAAATACTATCGGAAATTGGATCATTCCTATGTCACACACGTATCATATTCAATACAAATGCTATTTTGTTATAAATTGCTTATGCATATCTACTAGTGGCCCCAAGCAATGTTAACTCAGGGCCCCACAGTCTCGGGCCGCCCCCTCCGGCCCTGGCCGGTCGTCAATCATAGTACTATCACCATTATCAAACATCAAGGACGTCTGTGTGACTCATATTGATGTTTATCTGTATTTTGACAGCAATCGTGGTCTCTCACGCTATGGGCCGTGATTTGAGAAGTACCTACAAACTTCTACGTACCTATTTTAATTTTTATCTAAATAAGATAAAGGTTAGTCGGCAACGATTGAAATGTGGCTGTCATGGAGTACATTCTACATTTTTCATTAGCTCTTTTACAGCATTAGCATTTCATACTTAGTAATTAATTGATCTGTCTCGATTTTCCATTTTCCACTATCAAATGTCAATTTCATGATATAAACAACTCCCTATTTCATATTGTTCTTCTCAGAATCCATTCCTCTTTTCAACCGACTTCAAAAAAAGGAGGAGGTATTTTTTTATGGTATAAGCCGGTAAACGAACTCCTGATGGTAAGTAATTGTCGCCGCCTAAGGACACCTGAAACACCGAGGCGTTTCAAGTGCGTTACCGGCCTTTTGGGAATTCGAGGATTTTGGAGGATTCGGAAATTGGGGAGACTGGGGGGGGGGGCGTAATTGGGCCTCCGGTAACCTCACCCACACGACGAAACACAACGTTGTTTCACGTCGGTTTTCTGGTTCTCAATTTGACAGTATTTTCTTACATTGTACTTTTTCTTCCTACCATAAGTTTACTCAGCAGTCGCTTTCCAATAGCACCTACAATATGTGACTAATGTAATGCCAACAAACGAAAGCCTGCAGTTATGTCATGTCATAGGTACTTTCTAGACTTCTAGACGTCTAAGCTCAGCCATTACATAACAATTTGTTCTACTTAACACTAACTTAAGTGGACATTAATACAAATCCGTAGCGGCTAATGTTCGACCTTCAGCGCTAATTAGATATGAGCCTGACATGACTCTTGTTGCGTGTTTCAGAGCACTTATTACGTGATAAATTGAAGTACCAAAACAGATACTCGACAGTTTTCGTGATTAAGCAGTTTATGGCATAATACGATGATAAATATTTTTTGATAGTAGCATCGAATGATCCAGAAAATATATGCCTCTGTTTCGCATATAATCTTGACTAAGTGGATGTTTTTATCCGTCGATAGCCACTTGATTATGTTATGCTAGATAAAAGAAAATTATTTGACACTTTTCTATTTTTCGCCTGTTTGGAACATGGAAGATTTTTTTTTAGGTCCTAAAAGTACCTAATCTTTCCACTGATACAAGCTACATTGTTAACACCTGTGTGGTTTTTGTACAAAATTCTTATTAGATACCCTACTTATCAAAGAACTTTTGACAGTAACTTCTATCGAACTGTCCAGGATCTTAAAATCACTAGCGCCACCTAGGCATTGCCGAAAACGCAAAGAGAACTTTACTAATACGATTTCTTCACTGGTTTCCAGGTTCTACAGATGTGGACATCCCATCATCACTGTTACACACCATGCAGAATCAAATGCAAAGCAAGGGCGGCTACGAGATGGCGTACGGCGTTAAAGTGAGAATATTACAAAGTATTTAATAAATTCAAGGGTTATTGAAATTAAATTGAAACATCAATATAATAAGGTTCTGTTTAATTACAATAAAAGTATTTTTCTACTTTGATATACTCGTAATTTCCATACACAATGTTCCACATAAAACTTACAGTTAAACTAACAGCAATCAATGGATATTGTGAAAAAGTAAACCCTCTGCAGTCGTCATTTGTCATAATACTAAAACAATAGAAGATAATCATTATAAAGAAGCAATTGTTGAGTATATTATCATTTTACAAAACTATGCAATACATATTTCTTCCGTCTCGTCAGATAATAGAACAAACAGTGCATAGGACGAACATAAGTATTTTAAAAATGCAATAGTATTGTAAGGGTATCCTAGGGAAAAACTAGCTCTCAGTTAATCTGCCAATACTTTCATTTAGTACCGAAAGTTTAATTCAATGATTTTGCGATTGATCCTCCATCGATTATTTCTTTCCCATTTTTCTCTTGTCAAGCGTCATCTGAATTATACGCAAATAGTGTCACCAGTGACACATAACATAACATCACGCCTTTTATCACCGAAGGGGCAGGTAGAGTACAGCACTTAGGTAATGTCACTGTATCGTATAACACCCCCTTTTCATTATTTTATGTTACGTCCCATGTAATAGGGGGTGAGCCTATTGCCATATAGGTACCGGACTCCGTGCTACTACTGAGATTTTTTTAAAACCCAGTAATACTTTGCCCGACCCGGAATCGAACCCGAGACCCCTTGAACAGCAGTCGCACTTGCGACCACTCTGACAACGAACCAGTGAATGTCAACAAATAAAATTGCAATTTGCATTGAAAAAAAAAAACATGAATTAAAAAGTGATTTAAATTGTAGATTAAAGAAAATACTTCAAGATGCGCTTTACTAAGCACATTGCGCGCACGAGACGGTACTGCCCAATACTGAGTTTAGGCGAAATAAGATGAAATGCTGTCTTTATATTATCACAAATAAGAAATCATCTGCGACTTAGGCAACTCTCGTAACAAACGATATGACAAACTCTAAGCATCCAAAGATGAGTTAACATTGAGAAATGCTATTGAAACAGTCTACATACATTTCAATCAAGTGTCTGACCGTGAAAGCGTGACAAAGAGACAGACAGACAGAGCTACATTCATAATAATAGTATAGATGAAAGTAACGAGCTAAAATCCTACTAAAACTAACGGGCGAATGTTTCTGAAGATAAGAGGACGTTTAAATCAAAAACTACTCAACTGATTTGAATAAAATTTGGCACAGATCACAGATGAGATAGATCATAGTAACATAACATCACGCCTTGTTTTCCCGAAGGGGTAGGCAGAGGTGCACATTACGGCACTTATGGCCACTGTACAATGTAACACCCACTTTTCACTATTTATGTTATGAGTCCCATGTAATAGGGGGTGAGCCTATTTCCATGCACCGGGCACATTACCAGACTCCGTGCTACTACTGAGATTTTTAAAAACCCAGTAACACTTTGCCCGACCCGGGAATCATAGTCTAGAATAACACACAGATTACCTTTTATACCGCTATTGCTAACGAATTTACTACAAACTTATCTTAAAAAATACATTTACCACTCATAAATGAAGGTCGAATTTTCTAGTTGTCTTGTCAGCTTATTAATCCCGGGAACCTTGAATGGTTGCTTTCCGTTGTAATATATCGTGCAGACATGAGCTTGGCCCCGACCACACTCATTGTCATATTAAACTATACATAGATTATAAAGGTTATCTTGAACCACACGCCGCAATAGATTCTGTGAATGTACCTACTAGTTATTTTTCAAAAGCTTGACTCAGAATGATGGAGCAAGAAATTAGAGTATGTTATTGTATATTATTTATTGTTTGTTTATGTGTTTAACGACTGCCTCGTTGGCCGAGTGGTTGCAAGTGCGACTGCCGGGCAAGGGATCTCGGGTTCGATTCCCGGGTCGGGCAAAGGTTTTTAAAAAAATCTCAGTAGTAGAACGGAGTCTGGAATTGTACCCGGTATATGGCAATAGGCTCACCCCCTATTACATGGGACTCATAACATAAATAGTGAAAAGTGGGTGTTACATTGTACAGTGGCATAATGTGCCCCTCTGCCTACCCCTTCGGGGATAAAAGGCGTGCTGTTATGTTATGGTATGTTATTTGTTTTACTATTCAGTGATAATGGCTCAAGTATCTAAATATGATCAGTCGGATCTATGATATAAAACTTCATAAAAAAATAAGACGACGTTGCTTCCTATATTGTTCAAAACTCGTTTCGAAGTTGTGTGCCCTCGGCAAAATTTCCAGTACATATTCATCATACAAAGTGCAAATGTGTTTCCAAAGTTTAACAATAGTAATGATCTTGATGTATCTGAGATAAAAGCAAAATTAATTACTGGTAACACCTTCTACCTATCCATTCATCTTTCCTGATAACATCAGCTACATCAAAATGCTACAACGTTATGCGAAAACGGTAACCGTTATTTATGAAATGCAAATATTATCTTCCACCCACCATAATTTGTTTAAAGGTGAATGAACTTGCCAAAACTGTACATAGGTACCTACTATATAAAGCTAACGAATAATATTGTCTATGTCGTCACGTATTGAAAATAGATGAGTTGAAACTACGAGTCGAAGGAAACCAGTCGAGTTTCAATGAATCATTCATGTCTAACCTCTTACTGTTTTACGACCAAAGCTATACCTATTTAACAAAATAAACTTCTTTTTAGAATTAGGTACTTTTGGTAAATTTCCATATACTTACTTTAATACCAGTTACCAACCAGTTTAAAGACTGCCTCGTTGACCGAGTGATCGCAAGTACAACTGCCGGGCAAGGGATCACGGTTTTGATTCCAGGGTCGGTTAGAGTATAAATGGGTTTTAAAAAAATTATAGTAGCAGCACGGAGTCTGGAATTGTGCCCGTTATATGGCAAGGATCACCCCCTATTATATGGGACTCATAATATAAATAGTAATAGGTTATATTGTACAGTGGTATTAAGTGCCGTAATGTGCACTTCTATCTATCCCTTCGGGGATAAAAGGCGTTATGTCATGTTATGTTATGTGAAATCAAGATTTTTTTGTTATTTGTACTTATAATTTTAAATCTTTTTACCTACTTTGATAACGATATTCATCGATGATATCACTTAAGTTATTCCCCGGGGGCAGAATTAAACATCCTTTACTCGCCAATCAAGTTAAGTCCCTTGTCCCAGAGTTTGGTATGTAGTTACAAAATCGGAAATCCCAAAAAATAATCACGCGCAAATGTAATTTGTGAATTTCTTTACAAATTAACGTGAAGGTCAACTCCTCAATAGTCATAGAAATGATATGATTTGATAAAACATTCACTATGATTTGAATACCATAATCTTGACTGTAATCATACTGATATACTTTTTATTTCGTTTCAGGTTTATTGATGCGCGCCAACCGCTCAAAAAGACGCTAGTGATAAATCTTAGTGGTTTTTAAGCAGTGTACACATGATCTAAATAGACTATATTTATTAATTATTTACTTTTTAAGTGTAAACCATAAGTTTTGTTGTGTAAATAAGAATGTAAAACCGAATTCAGGATATAAGCGAGTTACCCAAAATTTTATTTTTAGGTTATAATGTTTACTCGTTCTCGTATCGTGAAACTATCGTTCCTTTCAGCCTATAAATGTTAAGATATTGAAATAATGACAATTATGAATATAAAACTGCATCTAGTTTCTCGCTAACTGAAACAATTGGTTACATCATTGAATCAAATGTACGGAGTTTTTTTTAAGTCGTAAAAATCGTCGAATGGCTGCTCCCGCCTGGGTGAGGCGGCAGGGAGTGTCAGACTCTTACTGACTAAAAACCACCCCGTTCCTACTCTTGAACTTGGAGCCGGAGCCCCGGTAACCTGTTAGGTTCTCCGCGGCATGTACCTACCTATAGGATTTCGTCTAGGTGAGATAGCTAGTTATTGTTTATGAATCAATATGAACTCCGTGTTTTACTAATAAAAGCTGAGACATAAAAGCACAAGACAATATTGTAAAGTTAAAGGAAACCTGGTTTAGATCTTCGCCACTTATTCATAATCTGACATCATTTAAAAAGTTTCAGTTAGCCCTAAACTATCCCTTTCGCAAATAAATTATATTAACACATAATACGACTGCATTTAAGGCTCGCATGCACGTAATACAAGTTGTATTTGTGCAGATTGTCGGCAAAAGACTTATCCCCTAGTTCCTCACTCATTAAAGTGGCAACATAAATAAATATAAACATATTAATCTTCCTATGACATAAAATAATACAATTAAGTCGTTTTGTGCTCTCCAAGTGGTTCTAGTGTATCGTAAGGTGTTTGTCCAATCACTGTCGCTATCAAAAAATTGAATGTATATGTCTGACAGTAGCTTATTCTCTATTGGACAAATTCTACGTTCTAACGCCATCTGGGTGCTTACTCTTGAAACCAATCTCTATGTCAATGTAATTTCAATTCAATTATTAAATTTGAAAACTATACAACCCCTATCGTAGGGGTATAGCATTCAGAGTACGGCATATAAAGCCAAACTCAAAACCATTTAGTTAATTAAATATCCACGCAATATAGATGCAATGGGCGCTAGTTTTGCAACTCAAGAGTACCTACGTTTTACAATATAAATGTCGATCGATCGGAATTGGATTCAAGAGTAAGCCCTGTGGTCAGCGAAAAACGATAGAAGTTTTTAATGGTGTAACAAACAGACAATTTTCTAGATTGTAAACGTACTTATGTAATAAAGTGTCTTCTATATAGTGACTTATATACCTTACCTATGTAGACAATGTGTTTATATAGTCAAATTACCTTATATTTGTAAAACTGTGTTTAAAATATTTGAATCATCATTTTGAAGACTATGTGACCTTATTGTGAAGTCAATGAACGAAAATATAGTATGTTTTGTAAAAATAGTGCTCAATCTGCCACCATAGAAGCACAAAATAAGAAATTAGATGACCAGCAAAGGTTGATTGAAAAATGTTCGATTACAATAAATGAACAAAATAAGGTAATCGAAGATTTGTCTACAAAAATTAATGCATTGCTTGACTCAAAATGCAACCCGAAGAGCGAAACAGAAACTTGGCCCAAACTGGTGCGAGGGAGCGAGACCAATATAGTGCCTGATGATGCGGTATCAACAGTGGCAACTGTGACGGAACGCGCCCGGCGTGCGGAGGAGCGGGCCAAGAAGAATAAGGACGCGGCTATACTGCATAGGCGACAGCGGGTTAAAGAAATCGAAAATTCAAATGCAATTATTGATTTCAATAATTCTAGCAATGAAGAGGAGGAATGGAAAGAGGTAACCAGTAAAAAGAAAAAATCTAAGGCCTATCCTAAAGTCATCAGTAAGGGAGGGAATATGCAAATTTCGTCAATTCAAGCGATTGAGAAGAAGAAGTTTTTGCATGTCTGGTCACTTCATATTGATACGTCTGAGGACACTATTATAGAACACGTGACTAAAGTATGTGATTCAAAGGATGTGAAGGTGGAAAAAATTATTCCAAAAACTAAAAGAGACTATTCGTCATTCATGGTGGGAGTCCCTGAATCAAAATTTGAATTAATAAATAACTCTGAAAATTGGCCGTTGAATACTCGTTTTAATGAGTGGGTGTGGTTTCGGAACTACCGAAACAAATCCGAAAATGCCAAAAATGGCCAATAATATCTTAAAATTATTTTATCAAAATGTGAGAGGACTAAGGACCAAAACACAAACTTTTAATAACAATTTGGCAGCATCGAACTATGACATCGTGGCCATAACTGAGACAGGCCTTAATTCGTCAATGCATGATGGGGAATTAATCCCGCCTGGATTTAACGTGCTTCGGTGTGATCGGATGGACGGAAGAAAACAGGGAGGTGTGTTGTTGGCGGTTAGATCGAGGTTTCAACTTGCACGGCTTCCCGCTGACAATGTGGACACCGCCTTATTCGAACTTGTGTGCGCGACAGTAAATTCTCGGAATAACAACTGTTTATTTTTATGTTGTGTTGTATATATTCCTCCTAAGTGTGATGCTGAACAATATATGCACTTGTTCCGTATTTTAGAAAACATTTGCATTAAATATGAGAAAGTGGTGGTGATCGGTGATTTCAATATGCCTTCGGCAACTTTGGAGGTAAACAGTTATTTTGAATATATGAGCGCTTTCTGTGGATTTCAACAGGTAAATGAGATTGTTAATATTAATAACTGTAAGTTAGACCTACTATTGACAACACTATTGCCCGGCGACATAAAGGTACATTTAGCTGACGAGTCGTTAGTGAGTGTAGATGTGCAACATCCACCGTTAATGGTGACCTTATGTTTTAGTGGACATTTTGGAGGGTCGTCATCATCGCAGACTTCTTTCGACAGTAGTCAACACAATGATAACCATTCAATGTGGAATTTTAAAAAAGCAAACCTTTGTCAACTGTATCATGATTTACAATTGATGAATTGGGATTTGATTTATGACACGCAAAGTTCAAACTTAGCATTAAATTATTTTTATGACATAGTTAACAATTGTATTAATTTATGCGTTCCTAGGAAAAATGCCAGTAAATCGTACAAAAATAAGAGGACTTATCCCGAATGGTACACGTCGGATATAATAAAGGATATTAGGACAAAATGGAGACATCACAAATTATTTAAAATTACGTCATCTTTAAGTGATTACGAAACGTTTTCTCGTTACCGGTCAATAGTGAAACGTAAAATATCAGCTGCATATCAGGAGTATCAACATAAGTTGCAAATAAATTTTAAGGACGATCCAAGGTCATTTTGGACATTTGTTCGAACTAAACAAATGCGTAGGAATAAACCCAAGATAACCAAGGACAATTTAGTGATTACGGAGGAAGAATCTGCGGAATGTTTTGCTAGATATTTCCACTCGGTATATAGTAAAAAGCGACCGGCGCTTGATACTCATGCGGCGGAGCGAGCTGCGAGAGGTGGTTGCGCAGGTGCGGACTCTGCACGCGTACACATTGACTATCTTACCAGGAGAGATTTATGTACGGCTTTTCAGCGACTTAAGCCTAAGTACTCAGTGGGTCCAGATGGAATACCACCATTCGTAGTGAAGGACTGTAGTTCTGTTTTTCTGAAACCGTTGCTACACATTTTTAATTTGTGTTTGAGTGAAGGCCGCTATCCGGATTGCTGGAAAATAACACGAGTAATTCCGGTTCCAAAGGGAGGTAAAGGGTCAGATATCGAAGGATATCGCCCGGTAGCAGTGTTGTCGGCCTTTGCTAAGATTTTTGAGTCTATTTTACAAAAACGGATTTACTCACAGGTTGGGCAAACATTTTCCGAGGCTCAACACGGTTTTCGGGTGGCACGTGGGACGGGGAGTAACCTTCTCTCTTTTATGTCATACGTGACGCCAGCTGTAGACGCCGGTGGGCAGGTAGACGTCGCTTATTTTGATTTCAGGAAAGCATTTGATACAGTAAACAACGATATTTTACTTGCGAAATTGTCCAAAATAGGTTTCACCCCTCATTTGCTTAAGTTTTTTGCAAGCTATCTGGGGGATCGTCGCCAGTTTGTGGAGTACGCAGGGCGAAGGTCTAAACCGTATTATACATACTCGGGCGTCAGTCAAGGGAGTAATCTTGGTCCACTGGAGTTTTTAATTATGGTTAATGATCTCCCTGAGGTCGTGCGCAGTGCGCGGTGCTTGCTATTCGCGGATGACCTAAAGGTCTTTCTGCAGGTCGAGGACTCCGTGGGCTGTGCTCGGCTTCAGCAAGATCTTGATCAAGTAGTACAATGGAGCCGGGATAATGAGCTGTATTTTAACGTGGCCAAATGTTGTGTGATGACGTACACTCGCGCCCGCTCTTCAATTTGCTATCAGTATCAAATAGATGGTGCAATAATGCCACGTGTCTCAAACGTCCGAGATCTAGGGGTTCACATGGTGACCGAGCTAACGTTTCGCAAACACGTCACGGATCTATGTAGCAAATCTTTTAGACATTTAGGGTTTATATTGAGACAGGGTCATGATTTTAAAAATATAGCGGTACTTAAAATTCTATATAATGCATTGGTTAGAAGCCATCTTGAAACTTGTGCTATTATTTGGAATCCACATGAGGACAAATACATTAAGATGTTGGAAAAAATACAGAACAAGTTCACAAGATTTTTGTATTTGAAATTGTATGGGATTTATCCATTTTTCCCATTGATGTACCCAAGTTTATTCGTCCTGGGGACAGTTGGGTACAATACACTAGAGGTGCGGAGAGATGTGGCACTAGTTAAATATATCGCCAGGGTACTACGAGGATTGGTCCATCACCCGGAAGTGTTGGAGATGTTGGGATTGCGTGTGCCAGACGGATACGTAGGGGCTCGTCGACGCCCCACCCTGTTGGAAGTGCCAAGGGCTAGGACTAATCTTCTTAAATATGCTCCTATTTCGCGTGCTATTCGGATTATAAATAGTGTACCGGAGCATGATTTGTTCCACAACCTACCAAGGTTTATTGAAGCAGTGCAAAGGCATATTGAATATCACCGTATTGAGTAATTGGGTCTGTATGGTTATAATATGTATGTCATACTGAGAGTATGTAACTCTTATAAATCTAATAATTAAGGTGAATTGTTTATTAATTAAGTTACGTGTTAGACTTAAATGTGTCAGGAAATGTGATATTGCATTGGAATAAACTGTAAGATGTCACATTGTAAGGTGTTATAATAAATAAATAAATAAAATAAAATAACAGCTGATACGCAATTTTAATTGTGTTTACTATATACAATAAGAAATACTATATCTGTGTCTATAGTTATGAGCTTAAAGCAATTGCTCAGCAGATTTTTTACGACTTTATTTTATGCATAACGTACAGAAACATTGCTGAGAATTGCTGCTATGATGCAACTATGCTGAGACGACTTAATTTTTTCCAATGAGTACTATATTCTTTGTAATGATGATTTAATTAAACAAAACAATATTTGTAAGTTATTTAAGCACTCTTTGCTTACTTTTATAAACCATGTTATGTATTATTTCTTCAGAAATGAACAATGTTAATTGAAAACAAAATTTGGATGTCTTTTGTAAAGCAAATTGTATATGGGATATAAGCTGAGCTTCTTTATTAAAGTACATTAATTATATTATATCTACGTTCAGTTATATTACGAGGTATAATGGTATAGATATCTACTTAGATATACAAACTGTATACCGAGAAATCTATTTCGTTTTCGTCCCGCGGCAAATGGTACATGGTACTTTCGATGTATAAAGTAAAAACGAAAAAAAAGTAAACATGTAATTTTATTATTAGAAAAAAAAAATTGGGAATACGCACATGAACCACTAGATGAAAAATATGAATATAATAATGTGCTATGAGTTTGCTTTTTGCAATGGCTCACCAGTTATTTTTTGTTTAAACATTTTATTTCTTTGTAAGACTATTGTATAACCGAGACAGAACCATTTTACTTTGGGACGAAAACGAAATAGATTTGACGGTGTATATTATGTAAACTTAATGCTAAGGATACACTAGGGGACAAATGCCCTAAGACAAGACATGTATCGGCGACATGTCGAGCGAAGTCGGCCGATGTCGCCTGACATATACGGTGATAACGCGCAACTTATGTCCACAGCGACGTTGATGTTGCCAGACATGTCGACCAAAGTCCGGCAACGTCGTGCTACTTCACCCGACGTCGCTGGCGATACATGTCGCAAGATATTTGTGCCCTAGTGTATCCTTGACTTAACTCTCAGTACAATATGCCTCCTATTTACTATTGAGTTTCATTTGCCACATGTAGATAAATCTTGTGCGTAGTTATTTCACGTTTTTCACGACCTTAAAGTAATTTTATGAATTATTGTGAAGAGATCTATCGTATTTAAAATCTTATAAAAATGTCATATTAAACGTAATTGCCACTATAGTGCCCGGTATAACATTTTAATCTTTAACTTATTTAAAGGATATCTATATTTTCTCTTTGAAAACTTTGAATTTGTAAGTGCGTAAATGTCTCTTATACATATTATATTTATTGAAAGACATGAAAGATCGTCATTAAAAAACGCTATAGGTAATAGATAGCCACATCGGTATCTATTGTTTTTTAAATAACGAAGTCTTTAGCTAGTTTACTTTAGTTATGGGAAAGTGCCCCCTAACTACGTTAAAAGTACCCTTCACACTTATATTCTGCTACTATTTAAGCAGATACAAATTTTCGTAAATCAATTTCATTGTCAAGTCTTTTTTGCAATTTAGATTTTATAATGTGCACATCTATGTAGCCAATTAAGGGATACGAATTTTGTGCATTTTGTATATTTACTGCACTGTGCTGGCGTGGTTAGAAAAAAAATTAAAAATATATATACCAAAATGGGTATAAGTATATTGACGTCACTTTACAATGACGCTACAAAATTGTATTTGCGCCCTTTTTCTCTCCACGCCAGCTAATTATTGTGTTGTTTGAAACGTCTCATATTTAATTATAAGTCTTAATTTAATTACTTTTCTAATCATTAGTGGTTAATAGGTTTAAAAGTCAATTTTTCGTCCTGAAAAGTCTTCTTGCCCGAACGGTTTTGGGCAAACGAATGACTGAAACATTGTTCGTGTGGAGACTGAACCAGAATATATATTATATTTACAAATATACATTCAATATTATACATAATCATTATTTTCATAGAACCCGTCAGTGTTGAAGCCAAAAAGAGCGTTATAATCTGTATTTGATGTGCTGTGTTGCCTGTCTAATTATTTATTTGATTGTCTTACAATTACAACACATCAAATAACAGAATGTCTCGTTCAATATGAATAAAATAATAATTTTGTCATTTTTTAGGTAAAACGACAAAGTTTTGTTATAAAGCATTGGTAGTTATATACTTAGGTAAATGAAATATTTGTAATGTTCATTTAATAACTTGTTCTATATAAAAAGAATTACAAAAGTAGTACTTCGTTTTATTTAATCACATCCTATATATAATTCTGCACAGGAATTTCACTAACAGTAATTTTCAGGCGATTTCATAGTGGACATAGTAATAGGCCACCTAAATCGCCGCCACCCTGCCCAAAGTCACTCCCACCCTGTCCATCAATTAGAAAACATGGATTTTCGAAGGCGTGTGTTTAAGGAGACACGGCTCCGTACGTCGTTATGCTTTTTGCTAGCATCTCTAGATTCTGAGATATTGCTAAAATTAAATCCTATAAAAACGAATTCTAAGTGAAACATTTTTTTTAAAAAAAAAAACGTTGCCCCTCATTAAGATTTTCTCCTGTGTCGTGGGTGCGTTTACAAACATACAAATTCACATACACAATGACACCCAGACCCGAAACAAAAATTTGTGGATCACACAAAGTGTTGTTCCGTGCGGGAACCGAACCCGCGACACGTTGCACGGCAGCCGGTTGCCCAGCCACCACACCAACCGTGCAGTCGAATTTTAAAAATACGTTGCCCCACACTAAGGTATTCTTCTGTGTCGTGGGTGCGTTTATAAACATATAAGTTCACATACACATGACACCCAGACCCGAAACCACAATTTATGGATCACACAAAGGGAACACGTAGCACAGTTCGATTCCCGCAAGGAATCGAACTGTGCTACGTGTTCGCAGCCAGTTGCTCAGCCTCCGAGCCAACCGTGCAGTCATCTTACAGAACATTTACTTCGTTTTGGAATCTTAATGGTACCTAAATCACAAAAAAATGGGGATTAGGTTAGTCTATTGAGACCTATTTGAGATTTCATAAGTGGATCCCACCCGGTCACTTCCAACCTGTCCATAAATTATAAAATGTGTCTTACTAGGATGTACGATTTTTTTTTATTTTTGGCTAGATCCTTTAGATTTTGAGATATTGCCAAATAAACATACATGAAAAATGCCTATAGCAAACATTGGATATGAAAATCTAATTTTTTAGCAAATCTTAATCTTGTTGGTTTCTTTTTTATTATTTTAGTTTACGTTTTTTACCGAACGCTACTTGTCAATTTTGACAATTTTGACATTGCCTTTCATTTCAATGACATGGCATGACAATTGAAAATGACTTTGACAACGTCCGCTGCTGACATACGACGACATTATTATTGTGGAAATATTATATACAGCGGCTAAAAGAATTGATAATTATAAGAAAATAATTACCTACACATGGAAATGGGTTTTTGACGTATTTGTAGGTACAACAGAAAACAACGGCTCCAAATTCACCGGAATTCACACATAACCTAGAAAAAGTAAGATTTAAAATGTTTCTAACAATAATATACTTTATAATTGTTTTCTTGATAACTTACAAGATTTATCAGAAAATAACGCTTAAAAAGTTTATCTCTGACATTAAAATACCAAACAAACTAGTTATCGTGACCGGAGCCAACACTGGTATTGGTTATGAGACCGCTAAAGAACTGTCTCGACGAGGTGCCAAAGTCATCCTCGCTTGCCGAGATATAAATAAGGCCCAAAAAGCTGCAAGGGAGATAAAAGCATTTACGGGAAACGAGGTTGTACCTAAATACTTGGACTTGGCATCATTTAAATCAGTTACTGAATTCGCCGAAGATATAATAGAAACAGAAAGAAGAGTGGATATTTTAATTAACAATGCCGGTACTGGTGTTTTGGATAATTCTTTAACTGAAGACAACTTGCCAGTTGAGGCGCAGGTCAATCATTTCGGGCCATTCTTACTGACAATGTTACTGCTACCAGTGATGAGGGACTTGAGACCTAAAGCTCGAATTATTAACGTATCGTCACTAATGCATAAGTTCGGAACAGTGGAGGATTTAGATAAGCAAGCAAAAACTTCACTTGGGCGTAGAAGGGTTTATGCAAATACGAAACTAGCGAATGTACTGTTTACAAAAAGATTGGCTGAGGAGGTTAGACGGAACAACGTGATAGTGAACTGTTTGCACCCTGGAGCAGTAAACACAGATATATTTCGGAATCAGCCAAAGATAGTTCGATTCCTATTGAAGTTGTTCTTCCTAACGCCTGAAGAGGGGGCGCAGACTTCAATATTTCTAGCTGTCTCTGATTACTTTGACGAGAGAATTATGACTGGAAAGTACTTTTCCAACTGCACTGAAGAAAGTCCTTCCGATAGAGCCTTGGATCGCGAAGCCGCCCAAAAATTGTGGGATTTATCACTGAAAATTTGTTTTAAAGATGCTAAGTTAAATGAGGCTACTGGTATTTCAAAATAACATGGCTAAAATATGTACTTCAATCAAGTTGGGGATATGAAGTAAATTTTATTTTGTTTGATATCCTAAGAGGTGGTAACGAAAATACCAATTTGATATTTTGTATAGAGGATATAGGTAGTATTTAGTCATTCTTACGTAAGGGTTGTAATTGTATCAAGTAACTAGTCCATTCCAAATGAACTGAAGACTGCCATCGTAGAAGTGGATTTATATACCAAAAAAATTACGTAAATAATTAATAATTTATGTGATGCCATTTTTTGTAAAATTACGTAAATAAAGTTTACATTAAATACCTATTGTTTGTTTTACCTTTGAATGCCACGGTCGGCTGTCGACGACAAACGAAAACTGGTCCTAATCCCGGCCATAACCAACAAGAAAACATTTAAAATTCCTTCATATATTTTCGTTATTATTCATTTCTATACCTATTTTACTACTTAAGTTAGGAGAAAATCAACAGAAGGCATTTAACTCTTTAAGTACCGTCATTGTAGACACAATTATAGAACAATAGGTAGCGGTCACCGGTGACCACTTGGTGTTTGACAGTTTGACCTTTCTGGTAACTTGGAACAAAGGATTTCAAATCTAATACCTACAAGGAAGTTAGTAGAAAATAAAACACCCAGAGGCTTTTCATCCATTTAATTGTGTTACTTGCAACAACAGTTAAAAACCACTTGATACATGATACGTGACACATTCTTCAAAGTCAAAAACAATGTAATTTAAGTAAGCGAACACATCGCACGAATTTTCTTTAATTATACATTTTTTCTTAGTTGTAAACTTTAGTAAATTTGTCGTGTGCGTCGTGAGAACATGTTGTGGCAGTGTTGTCGTTACTAGAATTTACTACTGAAACATGTTATCTTTTTCTGTGTCTGTGCTCCGAACGTGCAGCAGAAGGTTTTGTAGTTTTCTCCTTATATCTCGATTCATCTGTAACAAGAAAACGATCATTATGACACATGCGAACTGATTACATAATAAACTATTATTACTGTTCATTCTCCCAAGAAAATCGTTAAATTATTAATTGGAACGAATGTTGTATCATGGAAGAATACCTACTGGATAACACTTCTTCGTAAAGTAGAAATATGTGTGCGTTACCCAGGCAAAATGTTTTGCTTTAGAGAGATGAGACTTAAACAAATAATTAGTGTATCATGAGGAGCAATTTGTTTACTAATAGCAAAATTTGTTTGAATTGTAGTTTTTAAGTTATTTGAGAAAAACAAATTTTGCTGGAGTAACGTTTGAAACGTTACCCAGGCAAAATAGTCTTTCAAAAATTAGTTTCAGCACGGAACCAAATACATGAATAGATAGCTTTTGTTGCGTAGTAAATGTTTATAAATAGCAAAATTTGTGTGTGGTATAGTTCTTTAGTTATTTAAGATTTTGCTGCGGTAACGTTTTGGGATTTCCCAGATCTCGAAAACGGCTCAACGCAGAAGTTTGAAAAAAATACCAATAAAAGACCTCAATTTGTTTAAATTTGTTTAATCATTAGTTTTTGATTTGGTTGACGTAAACCAATGTAATTAAATGGTTTCAAAAATCAGAAGAAACGGGTTTGCAAGTAAACCAATACACTTATAACCAAATAAACAGCTGTAAAAAATACCCGTGGTTCGACGCTTGTTTACAGCAGACATTTTAGATTTCATACTTTACACGTTAAGAAGATAAAAACAAATTTGATTTATTTTAGACTGGTCGTACTTTAGCGATCGAATACGCAGTTCCCATAACATTAAGAAACATGGCATACTTTAAACAAATTAAAATGATTCATGAAAATTCCTTCCTGTTAATTTCAGCCTTGAATTACGGCTCTAATGAAAGTTATCTCAAAAACAAGAATATGTCAGCAATTCTCTAATAAGCCGACCAAATTGAAAAGGTCACGTAAAAGCGACTGCACCGTACGTACGGGTAATCTTCGCAAATTAGCAGCTTGGTAACCGATGTTTTGTACAGTTAAGCAGAAAAACGTTATTCGTGAAGCCGATTTTTTAATATTTTTTAAGTGCAGTACCATATTACACAATTTTTACTAGTTAATGCCAATTAAAATGCCATACTGTGAGTCGAGGTGAAATGGAGTCCACCTATCAACCTACGTTATTAGTACCTCCTAAGGAAAATTGTACAAACTATTAATGTATCCAAATATTAAAATTAAGTAAGTAGGTTATAACTTATCTGTGATTTTTCTCTAAAAATGTTGATGCTAAGGCAAAGCAATACATATAATTTGTATGAGACTGATTTTTTAAATAAAAATAATGAATCTTAACCATTTTATTATTTTAACTAACCTGACCAGAAAACTTTTGTATTCAACTGTACTAACAAAACATCTATATTATCCTGTTCATTTCAGATGGTTGCGCTTATGTATGGTGCGGTCGCTTTTATGTGACCTTTTCAATTTGGTCGGCTCATTAGAGAATTGCTGACATAATCTTGTTTTTGAGATAACTTTCATTAGAGCCGTAATTCAAAGCTGCAATTAACAGGAAGGAATTTTCAGGAATCATTTTAATTTGTTTAAAGTATGCCATGTTTCTTAATGTTATGGGAACTGCGTATTTGATCGCTAAAGTACGACCAGTCTAAAATAAATCAAATTTGTTTTTATCTTCTTAATGTGTAAAGTATGAAATCTAAAATGTCTGATGTAAACAAGCGTCGAACCACGGGTATTTTTTACAGCTGTTTATTTGGTTATAAGTGTATTGGTTTACTTGCAAACCCGTTTCTTCTGATTTTTGAAACCATTTAATTACATTGGTTTACGTCAACCAAATCAAAAACTAATGATTAAACAAATTTAAACAAATTGAGGTCTTTTATTGGTATTTTTTTCAAACTTCTGCGTTGAGCCGTTTTCGAGATCTGGGAAATCCCAAAACGTTACCGCAGCAAAATCTTAAATAACTAAAGAACTATACCACACACAAATTTTGCTATTTATAAACATTTACTACGCAACAAAAGCTATCTATTCATGTATTTGGTTCCGTGCTGAAACTAATTTTTGAAAGACGATTTTGCCTGGGTAACGTTTCAAACGTTACTCCAGCAAAATTTGTTTTTCTCAAATAACTTAAAAACTACAATTCAAACAAATTTTGCTATTAGTAAACAAATTGCTCCTCATGATACACTAATTATTTGTTTAAGTCTCATCTCTCTAAAGCAAAACATTTTGCCTGGGTAACGCACACTAGAAATATATGTGTATGATCCATTTGATTAAAACATACGGTTTCCTTACGTGAATGAATAGAACGAAACTCTTGTAGCTTTAAGTCATACCGGGACTCTTATTGATTACGACGTGATTCATTTCATCATCAACAGCCTGTTTTCTTCCACTGCTGGACATAAGCCTCTCCATTGGCAAACGTGACCGGCCCACTGCCATTTCAGCTTTCTAATCCTACTTTGGGCTACATCGGTAACTCTAGTTCTCTGTCGGATCACCTTGTTACCGATCCTATCCTTCAGAGAGACACCGAGCATAGCCCTCTCCATGGCACGCTGCGCCACCTTAAATTGGTGGACCAGTCGCACTGTTAGCGTCCACGTCTCGGTTCCGTATGTCATTACTGGTAGGACGCACTCGTTGACTTTTGTCTTCAGGCCTTGTTGCCTTGGCCTTGCCAAGTTGACGAATGTGATTCATTTATTTATTTATTTAAAGATTAATCCTTTTAAGCTATTCAACCATCTCACCTCTGTCCTTGTGTCGATGCCTACGTTCCCGCTCGCGACTGGTGCGTGACTCTGGCGAGGAGCGGCGGCGCGGGGAGCGAGTGGGGGGCTCCGCGCACCACCACCAGGCGGGCGGGGCCGGCGGGGCCGAGCGCCGCCCGCGCAGCGGGGACCCCGCGCCGTACCCGGGCGGAGGGGGCACGTGCTGCGACACATTATACATGAAACTCTAGTCCACAACTAGGACATTATTTTAATGCCAAGAGCATGCCAGATTTCCATAAGCCAAGCATTTTTCTAAACAACTATCACAAAGCTTGTCGAACACAATAATTATTATTATACCGTACTAGCGACCCGCCCCGGCTTCGCACGGGTGCAATATGCATGTATTATACATATAAACCTTCCTTAAGAATCACTCTATCTATTAAAAAAAACCGCATCAAAATCCGTTGCGTAGTTTTAAAGATCTAAGCATACATACGGACATACAGCGAAAGCGACTTTGTTTTATACTATGTATTGATATATACTATAGTATAGGTAAATTACTTATATCCTGGAATGACACCTGGTTGTACAAGTTTTAGGCTCAAATATCTAGTAAAAAGCTTCGTAGTTATTTCTTATAGGGGAGTAAAAGGAATAATGCTAACGCACCACATTTACTATGTCACAGAATGTCCAATCCGTAAGTTAGTGCCTATAATTAATTCTTGTTACGAGATTGCTAACTCTCAACACCTCTCCAGTTTCTGTTTCATTGGAAAGACATAATTATTCAGATCGTAATACCTTGTTCTAGCAAAATGGATGTATATCTCTCACCGGCGGGTAGTGCGTCGGCAGGCGGTACGGCGGGGCGGGCGCGGGGCCCTCGCCCTCCGCACACACCAGCGGCGCGGCCGGCAACCGCGTCGGACTCTCCGGGGTCACTAACTGTAAGCAAGTATTTTTCGTTCACCATCCAAGTATACTCGGCAGTTAAATTAAATGACATGATAGCGAATGGGAAATTGTGTGCTTACAGATATTATAATCGGACCACATAAGTAGGTACGAATTCTTGCTAGGATCTTAAAAGTATATTGATTAAAACGAATATCTTATATATGAGTTACCTGTTGCTTAAGACTGTTGAAGTCGTTGCTCATGTCCCGGTACCGCTGCAGACACTCCTGCCACATGTTGGCCATCTCCGCCATCTCAGAGCGCTGCTTCTTGATCTCCTCCTGGAAAAGAATACAGACCATATTTACTCATTTTATAAACCTTTTACCATTTGCGAGTTGAAAGGAATATCATGGCGAGTTTATTCTCATAATTATTATATCTACCGAAATTCCACAATTTAATTCACTATGTTAGATTTAGATGTAAGAAAATATGTCCTAACGAGGCTGACATGTTCCTGAACGAAAAGTTCCTAAAACAATAGATAATAAAATAAAAGAAATAATCAACCAAAACCACTGTTAGAGGACATAGTCCTCCCTGTCCAATTGAAATGACTTGAATATTAAAATCCACCTCAATAAAATTTGGGCTCACCAAGCAAAATGCTAGTCATAATAAGTTTTCCTATCAGAGAAACGAAAGGTGACAAAAACGTTTCAGACTATTAAAAACCTCAGGTATTTTATAAGTTTGTCTTCCGTAAAGAGCCAGGTAACCAAACAATGACTGAACAATTACAAGTTCCACGTAATAGATTGCAATCTTATTACTTTTGTGGCGTAATTCTTTAATGACTAATCATGCTGTACCTACCATGAGCCTAGCGTCAGTGTCTCCGACGTCCCTGGCGACAGTCTCGTACCGTCGCATACACTCGCGCCACAGCCGCAACTGTGCCGCTGCCGATTCCTTCACGTTCGCCGCTGATTCCTACACGAGTAAATAGATTATTTGGTTTATTTTTGCATGAAACAATTATAATTATAACTTGAAAAATAAAGTTGTACTTAGGACTCAGACCATCGGCTCAATGGTAAATAAAGCAAAGCAAAGATGATAATTTACTATTACAATTTATCTCTACCTACAATCTTCAAAATAGAACTACAACTATTTTTACCGAATTTAGATCGAAATATAAATATGTCTGACACTCACTCGCATATTTTTATCCTGGCCCTGAGTCTGAGAGATCCCCTTGAAGCAACGCATGAGATCCTTCCAAAGCTTCATCATCTTGTCCATGGCCTCGCGTTGTTCAGCTATCTCTTGCTGTCAATAGAACATTAGAAAAGTCTTATTACGACTAGTGACCAAAGCAAAAATATCTTTTAAGTTCCTTTAAATTAAAAAAGATAATAAAAAATTAAAATAACGTAAAATTTGCATAAATAAAGAATATCATATCGTAACAATTCCATGAACTCACCTTCACAACCTTCAGACAGTTACTCCTCCCGCTCATAGTGCTCGTCTCGCCGTCAGCCACGCTCAGTCCCGAATCCCTCTCCTTCTCGGAGTACCTGTCCCTTTCCCTTTCCCTTTCCCTTTCCCTTTCTCTATCTCTATCCCTCTCTCTATAGTCCTCCTCCCTGGAAGCGACAGAGTTTCTCTCGAACCTCTCCACGTTCCTCCTGTAGCGTCGATCCTTACTTGACACGTTTTGTCGATCTCGCAGGTCTGCCCCTTTCTCGTCGTAATATTTCCCCATTTCTTCATATCTCTTGTCTCTCTCTTCGTATCGCCTGTCCTTGAGCGTGTCGCTCCGTGCTGTCCTGCGACAGTTCCGGTCTTCCTCGTACCCTTCCCTGTGCACATCAAAGCTCCTACTTGTCTTCTGTTCAAAATATCTTCTCCTGTCGTCATCGTAATGTCGTCCTCTAAAGTCCCTGTCGTAGTCCCTGTAGTCTCGCCCATCTGGTGCCCGGCCCCTGCACGGATCCAAACAGCTTCTAGTGGGTACGGTAACCGGAGGATAGTCCCGATATCTTTCATCTTCCCCAGGACGGATCCTTGATCTGCTGATATCCAACTTGCTGGGGTATTTAGGACTATCTTTGTCGTAGTAACACAAGCACTTCTCTTGCTTCCCACGCTCGTCACACATTACCGTGATCTTGTCATGGCTCCGTAACCTACAGGAGAAGTTCTCCTGGCTTCGTATTCTAGACGTGGCCACTAACTCTCTAGACTTCCCTTGACTCAACCGCACTGGTTGACGCTCTAATTCATACGTGTCCCGCCTGTCAATGACTTCACATTGTAAGGACTTGTGGCTTTGAGTTCGGGGCTGTGAAAGTTACACAAATTCGATGTCACTTATATCTAAGGAAATAAACATTGAAATGTTGGAACAATACTAACCACAGGCTGGCTAGAATAGCTGGTATTGTTTTTATCATTGATTTGCGCACAAAACTTGGCGAACGTCTCAAGCAGCATGTTTTGATCTAATCCCCCTTGTCGTGGAGACACTGCTTTAGGCGACCTGCTTGACCTGGATATTACAGTAAACAAATAAAACTAATTCTAGACATAAACTGATTAATTATGTAGGTCAAACGTCCTCCTCCTTTTATAAAGAAAATTATAATGTGATTGTGATATGCAGAGAGCAGTAACACCCAAAATAATGTTGAAATTCTGTGACAAGTTGTCTCTAAACATTTACTATCATCTCAGCGCATGGCAAACGAGTTAAAAATCATTGTTTGCCATTAGCGCACGGCAATCAATCTACTAAAGAACAATCAATCATTATGCTGATAGTCTATCCACAAAAAAAGACAAAATAGCCTTACTTATTATGTTCCCGGGAAGGTATTTCGTCTTTCTCTCTGTGCCGGTCCTTGTGATGGTGTCGATGTCTCTCCCTGTCGCGCGGCGCAGAACGTTCGCGTAAGTCCTCGTTACTCACTCGTCTCTCTTGCTCCCGACGACGAGCGTGTCGTTGTCTGAAAACGAAGATAATTTACAAATTAATAGACAGTACTTAACATAAAAATACTGTATTGTATTGAAAAATCAAATTAATTAATTTATTTTTGACTGAGGACACTAACCTATATATCGATATTGAATTGCTTGCTATTTTAAACTTGAAGGTAATGTACAAAATCTAAATACCATTTATTTTTTGAAGTCGTTTAAAAACACAGGACTAATTATTTCATAATGTACGATTAAAAAAACCGACCTCAACCTCTTCTTTTATTGAAGTCGGTTGTGAAGGGGTCCCTGGGTCTATACTCAGTAGCGGGGCTAGTAGGTAAGTGACCCTGTGCTAAATAATGATGATTTTTGAACAAAAAACTTATTAGGCACCTAATCAGTAATGTAGTGTGGTTTAATACATACCCCGAAAGCGATAACGATTGACATTCAACTGTCACGAGCTCATTTCATTTCTAAGCTTATTCCATTTTTTGGCGCAATGTATAAACTACAAATCCTTAGTAACAAAATACTTCTTTCTCATTCCTTTCAATCAAAACTTACTTCTTTTTATCTCTTTTGATAGCTTCCTCTAGAAAAGCGTATATAAATGAGTCTTGGTCTTGTGGTATGGGTCCACCGACTCCATCGCCCTCCTAAACCAGTACAAATAAGATTTTGTTCACTTACGTAAATTCAACTTCAACTCACGTAAATATACTGAGAAAAACTCTACTAGTTTCGAACCACAGAGGGGATCTTCCTCATGAGCAGAGCTTTTCTAAGTATATTCACGTGAGTAACCCGCAGTTATTTTGTCAATTACTGAGAAACTTTTTAAAATCCATAATTATATAAGCGGCTGGCGGTAAGTGATGATGCGGTCTACGATGGAGCACGTCGACTCAAAAGCAACCTATTCAGCCGGGCCTTGGTAAATAATACCTGCAGAAAGTATTAACCGAAAGAATCTTTTCAAGTAATTCCTACTTATAGCACCGGGTTCATATTACTGTGGTGTCCCTGCAATAGGTTTGTGCCGTATTACTCCGTATTACTTAGGACTGATAACATAACTGGAAAAAATTGGGTGATACATTATTTACCCTCTATCTAATCCTTCGGGGAACAAAAGCGTGGTGTAATGTTTACCTGTGGCGGTGAGATGGACCGTGGAGTTGAAACCATACCCGCTTTCAAAGCCAAGGAAACTCCATCTCTTCTGTAATTTATTAACGTTGCATTAAATATTAAATAAATCCATTACCTTTGTTTTATTTCAAGTATTATATCAGTATTACCTTAACTTATCAATAAAACTGTAATTACAGATTTTTTAAATGTTTTCAAATAATAACATTTGAGTATTATACTTTGTTGCATACCCAAAGAAATCTAGATGCCTAGAACCTACCATACCTAGGATGACTCTAAACTACATAGCACGCCATGTAATTCGTTCGATCATCGGCTCTAACCACTGTTAGCCACTTGCTGGTTTCGTCACATATTGATAATTGAAGAGACAATGACGGCACGGTTGGTGGTTGGAAAACTGGCTGCCGCGCAACGTGTCGCGGGTTCGATTCACGCACGGAACAACTCTTTGTGTGATCCACAGATTGTTGTTCCAGGTCTGGGTATATGTGAACTTGTATGTTTGTAAACGTACCCACGACAAAGGAGAAGAAGTGGGGCAACGTTTAAAAAAAAACAAAGCCCCATAAGTTCTCTCTTGCCTGCCATTCAATCCATTAATTGATGGACACTATATTCATATTCAGCAGTGGATGGAAACGAGCTGCGACGAGTTTATGATGATGAAGTAAGTAGTGTTACTATAACGTACGTCGACCGGCGATGATGACGCCGTGGCGACCTGGAGCCACGATGCTGTTCCTCGACTGGTGACCGCGAAATTGAAGGACTGCTGTCTCGGTCCCTATGCATTTTACCAGCTATATTATCAGTAGGTCATGTTTAACTTATTATTTTATTATTATGAATACGTTAACCCGTTGCTTAGTTGTTATACTAACATGGTATCATTTGATATTAAATAACTGTGATAACTAGTCTAAAATAAGAACAATTATTTGTCAGCTGTAATCAGTTGTGGAGGGCAAATGGTAGTGGTGCCAAAATACTGATATTCAGACAAATAGAAAGAAGAACTAAGACCATATTCCTTAAAGGACCGGGGACCCTAAAAGGTCCGATCACAAGGATTGGCACACACTGTTTCCAAAGTTCATTGCCATTGCCAGCCAACTTCTAGCCTAAATAATCTCAAAAGCCGTCATGGTAGGTCCACATTTACATAATAAGAACACAATAGGTTGATATGTGAATGGGTAGGTATGATTATTTTTGAATATGTTCCCTCTCTTAAGATGGAGTGTCCCAGTTGACTTTTAAGTATTATTCAGATGAGAATAAGTCAAGTGTTTATACTTAATCAGTCTTAATAGTTCAACAACATAACATACCTGTATTTATTGCGAAAATAGTACAAACCTCTTTGAATTATTGGCATCATGCTGTACAGGTATGTTCTGCACAACGGCTACTTCTTGTAAACTAGCTTTCATTGATGGTGCTCGACCGACGTTTGGTGGACAGCCCTGTGGAATCACGTTACAAAAATATACTTCAATAAATGTAAATAGATGGGTATAACTAATAAAAAATATTTCTACAAAAGTATTTTTGTAATAAAAAAACTGAATTGCTTTTGCTAAGACTCCCTTTGATTTAGAACAGTTTGCACACTCAGCAAAATTTAAATTCCCATACTTCGTTCGACTCAAAAGTAACGATAATAACATCTTATACGCAATTCATTGGATGTTTTCTTCAAGTATAATTTGACGACTAATTTCTGATGCCTATAAACACAAGTATAAGAAACAAGTATACATATACTCACGCCAGCAGAGCCGTCCGTCACAACAGAGGTGGAATCGTCGAGCCCATCCCGTTTTTTCCTAGTCCTCTTGTGCTTCGCCGCGTCAAATACTTTGAACAATTTTTTGCTATCGCTCGACTTACACTCCATCTTATGTAGTCGAATGGATCCCCCGACATCGGAGAACAATCAATCCTAACTAATTTACCTCTATTACTCTCATCACTGTTACAATGGTGTTTCAGAATATTTTACGTTATAAAGAAAAAGGAATTTTAAAAATTGTTATCCAAATATACACGGTGAAAAGTGAGGGATGTCAATTGTGTATGTAAAGTTAAAATAAGAATTATGCAAGTCCAAGTCAGATTATCGGCTGCCAGAGCTAGAGCAATAGATAGCTATACTTATTCGGATATGACATGGACCATAAACCATTAGTAGAATCGGGCAAAGACTTTCACCCGCTTCTTTTCGGACCCTGAATGCCATTCACGTCTTTTCCTGGTTCTATGTTTATTGCGGAAAAACTTATGCTGACGAACTAAAAGAATTAATTAAATATAGAATTATTCTCCATAAAACTAAACCCAATGTATGTTCTTAGCACAATAAATCTTTAACCAAGTTAAATTCATAAGCCCTTTGCAGACAGAGGATAATTTTTAGATCAAAGAGTAGAATTAGTAGTTCTTTCCTATTTACTCATGTTAGGGCGCTGCTCATTATATTCAATTTTATTCTTGATCGCTTTCAGGTTTTCATATGATAGGGGCAAACAAACAAGATGCATCACCCGATGGTAAGCAATCAGCGCCGCGCCAGCTACCAGTGAGGTGCCGGTTTTATAAATTCTTTTTTTCTCTCTTTTCTTTCAGCACTGTAATTAGTTACCAATATAAAAACTAAACATTTCTTATTTAGAGGTTATGTATGAAGGATATTAAGATTTATTCCTGTCTTCATGTCAAAAGTTAAAAGATCAAAGTGTCTACGACTGTCTCTAAGTCTATCTACTTCTGACTGCAGCAAAACTCAAAATTGACTTTTTTCATCACTAAACGAAACGAGGGTTAAGTAAATTTGGCTATTCACATGTTATATTTAATTTGGATTCAATTTGCCGGCTCACATTAACTCTTTTACATTAATTTAATTCAGTAATTGAGGTGGACAAATTATAAAATGCCAATTCATGAAAAAAAAATAAAATTCAGATTCAATTTCAATATATTATAGATTATTGTAATTCACATTAAACTTAATTAAACTTATAGCCCACATAAGCTCCTCACACTCTCCACTACGTTTTTTCTTATAGACAAAGGCGCTAAAGGTACTCGGTATAAATCTCCATCATAAAACCAATAAACAGATTCAAGTCCCATTTTATTATAAAAATCAAAATTACGTGTTATAATACATCTTTTCACAATCGAACAATAGAAATCGATTATAGCACATTGACATTCTTGTTGTAAATAAATCATCATGGACATAAATAACAAAATCGGATCGTACAGCCTAACACGTTGAGACACCGCTATAAATGAGGTCGGAGTCGTGAGACAGTCACAGCACGCACCGCGTCCGTCCGTCCGTATCACTATATGTACACGTCACTCGCCACTCACTCGGCACTCGCGTACCCGTCGGTAGCACGTCACTCAGCGTCACTCAGTGTCACTCACTGCACTACGGCACTACTCGGGCTCCGCGTCCGCGCGCGACTGACTGCAGTGGAACAACACGTCGGCCAACTCGTGCGCCACCTTCTGGTCCAGGATCTGGGACATCACCAGCGACAGCAGGCGTCGCTCGTGGCGCCGGATCAGGGGCCGGTTCTCGGGGTGCTCCGCCAGGCGCAGCAACGTGGCCGCGGCCCGCCGCAGCATGTCCAGCGACGTGCCCATGGCGTCCGGGTTGTCGCGCAGCGCCGCCACGCCGTGCTGGTTGGCCACGCCCAGCGCCGTCTGCTCGGCGCGCTCGATGAAGGCCACGAGCTGCGCCACGGCCGGCGCGTGCAGCGCCACCTCG